ACACACACACACACACACACACACACACACACACACACACACACACAAAATCATACTTTACATCAACATTCCTGTGCGTTTTTCTCATTTTCATAAACTATTTCTTGGTCTCACTTTCTAAACATTTTATACGGAAAAAATTAAAATTAAAAAAATTATAAAATGAACTAAAACTACAGGCACTGATATGAAATAAAAATCTGCTTCCATGAAATAAAAAAAAAAAAGTCCAGTAGTTGATTTACTTTTGGCTCCTCCAGGCGACTGTAAAGCAATTACATGTGGAAATGTCAATATCACCTCTTATGTTGAGCAGTCGATACGATGCGTCGATGTGTGGACCGGCTGGCGGGTAACTTTTAAACTCTGACATCCCGGCGTGGTGATCGAATCAACATTACATCAATTTAAATTAAAGAGCTCAAGAACTCAAAGTTATAAAGAAATAATACTCCGGAAGTGAAATTACAATCACAAATTTAGTTTTTCTCTTTTGTTTCCCTGTGATGTGTGTGTGTGTGTGTGTGTGCAGCTTTAATACTCACCGAAAATATACACCACTGTACTGAGGGAGTTCCTCTGTTTTTGGGGACTGTTTAAAAAATACTAGATTGGTGAAAACGGGCAAAAAACTTCAAACAACCTCAAAGTCTCAAAATAACACACTGTAACAGTATTGAAATGCTACAAACTGGTTTCACCAATAAAATACAAAACAAAAATATTTAAAATGTTGTACTCCACTTTAAATCTGGAAATTGTCACAATAGCCACCAATTTGCATATTAGAGGAGACATTTTAGTACAATATACAACAATAAAATCTCCCTTCAATACATTATCATTATGTCTAAAGAGACGACCCCCTCAGCCAAATTAATCATTTTTCGTACAGTCCCTTAAAGTTGCCGTTTGACTCCTCAACTCGGATATAGCTGCTACGTCTGGACAGGTTTTGAAGGATCGCAGTTGGACCTGATATTTAGCTGATTTGTATAATTTGTCTGACATCAGTTTCAAAAAATTTCATGTGAGATGTAACTCCCTTTTAGGCAGAAGGAGCTTTTTTGGCTACACGCAATTCTCATGACTTTTGCTTTGAAAAAGCGAAGCAGCAGATGCTTCCTTGTTTGGCGTGTAGCGGTGGTAAGCCGTTAAATTAGTTAGGAAGAGTTCAACGTTTTGGAAAATGCGCTCATTTTCTTTGTGTTTTCAGATGGATATCAATCTCATATGAGGACGTGGATAGCCTAGCTTAGCATAAAGACTGGAAGCAGGGGGAAACAGCTAGCCTAGATATGTCCAAAGTTCTAAAATACACCCACTAACACCCCTGAAGCTCACTGATTAACATGTTGTATCTTGTTTGTTACATCAGCTGTTAGTTAGCTAGGTTGCCACCTCCACCATGCTTTAATGCTACACTGGTTACAGAGGATTGGCCAAAAAAGCATGGCGGAATTGGCAGACTGGCTAAGTAGCCAGCTGGTACTCTACTACTCTACTAACTAGCTAGTAAGCCAAGTAATTAGTTAGCTGTCCACTGGTAGCTAGCTAGCATGCTAATTCCACCATGCTTTAATGCTACAGAATGTAGTAATGTTACAGAAAATAAGCTTTCCTACGCTGTGAATAGTGAGTGGATGAAGCATTAAGACCTCACTTCAGTGAATCCGTAACTTGACTTAAGTCGTCTAGATAATATAAAAGTTAGCCCGCAACAACAGTCGCAATGTTACACAAAAAAATAGCGTTGATTTGAAATGGAATGTCCATTCTGCTCCTATTTTATTTCTTTGGCTTCTTTTCCTTTTATGGGTTGCCAAACGTCAGAAAAGTCTTTGTGCTACGCTAGGCTAATCAAGTCCGGACTCGCGCTCTTCACTAAACACACAGACATGAGATTGAAACCCATCTCCACATCTAATTCTTGAAAAGAAAGCAAAATGGAGCAAAAATGGTTCATGCCGTAGTCACTGATACTAGTTTCTCATTGGTGGACTGTTGTGTAACCTGACACCTCAAACAAAGATCCAGCCAACAGTTTCAAACAAAAACAATGAACGTCTCCTCCCTGTCTCATTGAGAGCCGTCCTTTCTTGGTGGATTAAATGCTGCATGGAGAAGAAGAACTGGCTCAGCGCAGCTTCGTACACTTCAGGTGAGTATTGACGCGTCAGCTTTGTGGATCACAGCACCGGTTGGTCAGTTTTTTTTCGAGACGTCTGCACAAAACAGCAACAAGGTTGCTAAGAGCTACAACCTGATGATTGACAACTGTACAGCTGCTCTGCTACCGTGTGTGTACGTATGTGTGTGTGTGTGAGTGTGTGTGTGTACAGTCGGTCTCCTTCTATACAAACACCTGGTTCAGTATTCAAACGGTAAGAGAAAGAGTCCTCCTCACTTGGCACGGAGCGTGATGATTGGCAGAGGTGCCCATTTGGCCGCCACTTCCTGTTTGTCTTTCTGCAACCCTGCGATCCAATTGACTGTGAACACCTCAGCTGGTTTAATCCAAAACAGAACGTTCCATTTATCCTCTCTGCGTACAGTCAAGAGTGGTTTAATCCGTCCATCCCCTGTGGAAAGGTTACTGGTATGATCCACGGAGCCAAAGTGGCTTTTGTTTTTATCAACGACCCTTCAAATGGGTCGAAATGGTTTCTTCCGTCCACACCTCCTGTTAGACCAGTTTGGACTGATCGAGATGTGTCATTGGGGCCCAAAAGATGGTTTGAAACCATGACCTTTGACCCCTCACACAGCGTCCTTCTGCTTTAGTTGTGCCCCGTTAGTAAGTCCGTCAGCGGGCGTGTCGGTGTCTTCGGGGGCGGCTGCGGCCTCGGCGGTGGCGGTGGTCTGTTGTTGCCCAGCCGCGGACTCGCCGCCCCCCCGCCCCCGTCGCTGTCGGCTCTGTCCGCTGGGATTGGAGGAGGCGGCGGTGGGAGGCGGGGCAGCGACATGGAGCCGTGGTGGTAGTGGAGGTGGTGATGGGGGTTGTGGCGGAGGTGGTGACCTCCGGGGGGAGGAATCCGGGAGCAGGAGGAGGCGGAGGAGGAGGAGGACGGGGGAGGAGGCGGGGGCGGCGTGAGCGTGGCCGGCCTCAAGCTCTGGATCCGCCGGCACTCCTGGCAGATTCGCACGTGGCTGCAGCCCTGCAGGAAGCTGCGCAGTGGGGCGGGAGGAGCCACCAGGGCCGACACCGGAGGAGGCGTGCTGGTGGTGGCGTTGGCGCCTAGCGGGTCCTCCAGCAGCCTCTGTGGCCCCGGCCCCAAATTAGGGACCCCTCCCATACCTCCCCCAAGGCCGCCTGTCAGCGAGCCGGCGCCGCTGTAGAGTTTCCCGTTGCTGAGGCGCATCTCCCGAACCAGGCGGATGGGGCGCGGCGTAGCCAGAGCCAGGCGCGACGGGTGACGCAGTACTCCGCCCCCGGCGCTGCTCAGAGGACGGCGGCGTCGGGAGCGAGAACTCTTCTTACAGGAGACGGCGTTTCGAAACTCCGTCAGCATCTCCTGACAAACAGAGACCTGAGAGCGAGAGACAAAGAGAAACAGGATTCACCTTCCTATTACTTAAAGAAATATGATGTATTTCATTAATTCATACATGCATACAAACAAAACAAGATTCTGAAATGCTCATTTATTCTGTCGAATGTTTTCAAATAAGAAATACTTTAAACATTTTCTGAATTGTTTAATATCGATACATAACTCATTTCTTTCCCGAAGAGAGAGATGATGTGTGTGTGTTGATGTGACGGAGGAGGGAGAGTGAACGCCCATCCCTGAACGCCTCGACGCCCGACGTCACAATAAAGCCTCTGATGAGGCCTAAGTGCTCATTGTTTGCTTGAAGTGAAGTGAATTAAGCAACAATAAACTCATGCAACATTGCTGTTTTTACTTTCATAAAAGCAAACAACGACCACTCATGTCGAATTTCGTACTTTTGCTTAAAAGAAAATATGGTTGCCTCCAAATGTATCTGAGGAGTTCAGCTCTATGTAAACATGATTTATTTTAAGTGACACGGTTTCAGAACTCATTCATTAGAAGTTTCTATCTGCTGACTTCGGACAAAAATCAAGGATTCTTGTAAAAAAAATGTTTCAATCCACAAAATGTATTAATTTCTGAGCGGAGTTCTGATATAAATGACATTTGGGAACAGACAACAAGGCAGCAAGATGTTGACTCAGACACAAACATTTAGTGAAACCAAAGATTTTCATTAACTCAGGATTCAGTTTCACCAACGAGACGATTCAAAACAATTCAGCAAGTTTTCTCTTTATTTCACTTCTTTTTGTTTGTTTGCTGCTGAAAGAGGTTAAAATGTTACTGCATGAAAATCTGAATAAAGCACATTCTGACACACACACACACACACACACACACACACACACACACACACACACA